TGGAGGTTATAAATGGTACAATTCTTTTCTCTGTCTTCATTACACGATTACATACTTTAGTCTTATGATTAAAAGTAAATGTGTTCATCTTATGTGGGAACTTCCTACTCTTTCTATGAATATATATATATATATATATATATATAGGAAGCTGATTCTTTACCCAAGTTGAATGTGAAGGACCACATTTTTTCTTTCTAGCAATTGCAAATACAAATACCCTCAACAATAGTTGGGTAAGGAAAATTTTCTGTAAGTAATAGTTAAGTTAAGTTAAATTTTGAAATTTTTGTTGCTTCCTTTTTGTGCTTCCTTCACTGTAAATTAAGAACAAGAGTTGGTAGTAAACATAATAATTGACAAAAGGTACTACCTTAATCCTTGCAAAATTCAAGAATGATTATGAAGTAGTTTTACTCATAATTTTTTATATGATGCTTAATTATAAGAAAATTTTGATATTTTAGTAAGGATACATGTTAACTTTTCTTATTTGAATGTATATTTGAAGAAAACAATTTTTAGGTTTGTTTTAGGCTTACAAATGTTAATTATTCAGCCTAAATTAATGTCAAGTATTATTATTATTATTATTATTATTATTATTATTATTATTATCATTTTTATTATCATTCAAGAGTTTTTGTAATGGTCTTTTATTTTTATTTTTTATTTTTTTTCAACAGGCAATTTGGCCTCACAATAGTGACTCTCAATCTACAAAAGCAATTTTAATGATTCTAATTCATTTCTTAGGGGAAAAAATGTGGATCTTACTATGTTAAGGTAAAAGAATTAAATAAAATGTTTTGTTAGATCTTTGTATCATTGTCAAAGAAAATTAAAAGTGAAATTAGTGAAGTTGAATCTTGAGCTGGTAATTATTGGATCCATTTTGCTTTTCTTTATTTTCTTTTTCTAAATTTGTGGCTTATTTTGAACAAACTTGATGAATTTCCTAGAAGTGAAGCTCATTCTTCTAATGACTTCATCTTTATGGGATATGATGACCTTTGAATTATTTAGTCTTGTTTTCCTTATTCTCCTATAAGAAAATTTGTGATTTTCATTGCTATATATCTCGTGTGATGAGTTCTAGCATATATATACCTCTTGAAATTACATGTCTTTGATAGTGTTTAATTAGTTAGTTCTTCAGAGTACAAATTGAGCTTATGGATGGGAAAAAACTTCTATTTCTAGCAAATCGTATCTCCATGAGGCTAGAAAACCTCTAATCTATCTGTTATTAGTAATTTCTATCAATTAATTAACAAACATATTTGTGTGTCTTGGTTTTTGTTCTCCTTTTGGTATGGTTCCTCTTTTGTTTCTCTTTTTCTTAGAGGATTTTTGAGAGCTCCAAGACAGAGGAAGCAAGATGAGAGGTGGGATCCTTTCAATGTTTTTTACTTTTTATATGCTTTTCCTTCTTTGGTATTTTTTGTTTGATTTTTTTGTTTTTTTCTATTGTTTTTGTAATAATGTCTTTAATGAGAGGTGGGATTGATTTTTTACCTTTGTATAGTTGTGATTTTGGCTATGAATAGCAATTTGGAATAAAGTCTTGAGTGTTCTACCTGTTTTAGTTAATTCTATTTTTCTTACAATCTATTTACATCCATTGTTAGAAACTTAATTGTTGCTCATGTTAAAGTTGTACTCGCAAGTTTTGTTCTATGAAATTATGTTTTTATAATCATCAATTATCTTCTATCAAACATAATAGAGTTTGGTTATACTTTTTTGGTACAAGTTGAAACATGAGTACTTTTACTTAGCCTTGATCCAATGTAAGACAAAGGTTGAAGAAATTCTCCACTTTGAAGTTAATTTCACCAGTTGATCTTTCTATGTACAATGTTCTTATGTTGCTACTTATTAGTTGGGTTTTCTCTCTTTATCAAAAATGGTAAAATTACATAAATTGTGTCTCCTAGGGTCAAGGATTGTTATTATTATTATTATTATTAACTGCATTAGTAGTAATGTATTTAATTATTTTGTAACATTGGAAAAATAAATTTCCAATGATTAAGAATCTCCAAATTTTTTTTTATTACGTGGCTAAGGTCTTTATTTTAACTATTGTTTGGTTTACCCATATCTCTAACTGTAGTGATTCTTTTTCTGTAGTGATTCATGAACTCAGTATTAATAAAAAAGAGAATTGGGTGCTTTTGAAGAGTTAGCTATTAGATATTCCCATTACTATATTTTCTACTGACTCTTTTGTGAAAGGAATGGAATGAAGTGGAGTAAGGCAATACTAGGTTCAGAGTTTACTTGAATTCCTTAAAGGGAATCCAAAGCAAGTTTTGATGTAATGCAACAATATATCGCATAATTTTTCAAATATAACCAAGGAAAATGTGAAACAGATGATCCTGTGTTTGTCTGAGGTATTGTATTTTTAGAATATAACCTCATTTTTAAGGCTCTAAATTGATTCTAAAGTTGAGCTCTAAATTGCAACCTGCTATAGGTTTCTAAAGAATCCAATTGCACACAGACACATAAAAGGAACAAAAACAAACTTCTAAAGTACCAAGTTTTTTAAGCCGAAAAACACCTTACAATAAAGCAACAAAAACATCAGCTAGAACATAGACTTGATTTCAGAAGTTTATTGTGCTCTAGTGAACTTTCTCTTCTCTTCTCTTAAACAAGGTTTCTTAAGGCTAGGTATTGTTAGGACTTAGGCAACATTGATAAAATTAGTATTTTCTTGATATTTGCTTTCTGTGTATTTTATATTTCACTTTGGTTTGGCTTTTAATTAAATTCTTTTTCATTGTAACCTTGGAAATTTTTCTTTAATATTCCTAGGTTGGTGCATGTCTCATTGGTTTCGGTATCTTATTCTCATTTCTTGACATATTTCTTTCCTTTGACAAGGTTTTGCTTGCTCTATGTGATGTAAAGCTTTCCTTTGAACTTGTTATTTTCTAATGTACATTAAAGGAAATTATTTGATGCCTAAGAAATCAATAATGTTCTAACATTCTTTACTCAAATATTTTTCTCAATAGGGATAGAAATTTTGTCTATTGGTAAATTTTGTCTATTGGTAAACTTTGTCGTCAAAGACCTTCTTAGGAAACTTGCATTTATTGTTTTTAGAGCTTAGAGTTTGCTCCTAGACATGGAGTGATTAGTAGCATCTTAAGAATTACTAACTAGATTGTTTGAATTTATTAGTTTTTTTATTATTTGGATAGCTAAGCAACATTTAATTTGCAAGGAAATTGCAACTCTTATTAGCTGCAATACATGCATTGTTGGGATTGAAAAACTTTGATAACTCTTCAAGTAAGTGAAGTCAGTTGCATTGCTACTTTTGTTAATTTTTTCATCTAGTTCAACCCTTGCCCTGCAAAATATCATCACCCCTCATGTGTATTCTATTTACCTCCATAGTTTATGGCGCACTTGGTATCATGACAAGCAAGTATAAGGAGAACAAGTCAATGATTGCTGTAAAAAATTGTATGCTTTTTGGTAGTTATCTTAATTAAGGTTATTATGACACTTTATATAGTTTGGGAATTAATATTGTTTTAGGGTATTACAAGCTAAAGATGCAGGAGATGTCAGTGTTCTTGTGTGGTGGCTTTAAATTTTGAAAAACTTTATCCTAATCTTTTATATACAAAATATGGCGTCAATTTAAGATTTTTAAGTACATAATCTCTATTAAACAAATGAAAATTGTGAACTTGATTTGATGCCTTATAAAGGGAGAGCCTATGTTATGCTATTTAACTTTAACAATATGCTCGGGTTATTGATGCATGCCACAAGCTTATAAAGTCTTTTTTAAAAATAATATATATAGTGTATCTTTTAAAAATGAGAATTTTTTTTTTTTTTACCTTCCTTTAATATGAGGTTAATAGTGCCTGGTGGTATTCAATTTGTTATGTATGCTAATTTTTAGAATTTTTCATATAGATATGGATTTTATTTTCCTATATTTGTTATATATCAAAAAGTGTAATGATAAATAGAAGTTTTTTTGTTTGTTTGTGTAGGTTTTTGAGACTACATTTAAGAAAATAACTGTAGATACAAAATAATGAAATCTTAAGATACGGAGATGAGAAAGTATGCAATGATCATGGATTTATAATATAAACATGTTATTGTGGTTAGTAAAATTTTATTTCTTGTGCTAAATAATATTTTGTTCATTCATTAACATATTTATTGTTATACAAAATAAAATATAACCATTACACCACTCAACTATCTAGTGATCTATTAAAGAATGCTCTTTTTTAAAAGATTCAAAGGAAATTTGATGACTTAAATAATTCTTAAGAGGGCATCCTCATTAAGAACAAAATTATAATAAGAAGAAGTTTTAAAATTTTGACTTTGGTGATAGTTATGTTGAATAACAGTATTAATGTAAAGAAAGGTTTTGTATAATTCATCTAAAATTTTTTTTTTAATATTTTTTATGTTCTTTATAATTTTCTTCTCATTATGCAAAAACTTAAATGTGTTTTTTTAATTCAATGTTCAATAAAACTTTTAATTTTTTTATTTATTATAATTTATTGGATATTATTACTTTTTACTATTTACTTCTTAAATATAATTATATTCTATCTTTTAGAGTAAATAACATTATTATTAATATAAAAATTATATATTTAAAATATAAATTATATATTTTATGATAAGGTATCATCTAATATATATATATATATAAGGGCAAAAACAAACACGTGCCCACACCACGATCATCCGCCACGCCACCCCGCCAATCCGACGCACGTGGTCTCTTACTGCCAATAAACCGGTCGGTAACCGGGGCAGCCGGTAACCCCGAGAAAAACCCAATCCACATTTTTTTTATTCCCAATCCGACGGTTCACATCTCACATGTGATTTTAAAGTCGAGAATCATCGGCTCTTGATAAATCTCGTTGTTAATAAATACATCTGTTCGTTGTCTTTCTCTTTCTCCTCCTCTTCCTCTTCCATTTCTTCTGCTTAAAGCTCAAAAGCATTTTTTAAGCAGTTTTTAATGGGTCAAGAAAGAGAGATTCTTTACTCTTTCTAGTTTTCTCCTTCTTTTAGTATTTTAATTTGGTGTATTTTTTTGAGATTTGTAGTTGGAATTTTCTGTTTGTTTGTCTGGTGTTCTTTTGTGAGTTTTGAGGTGGAAGATGGAGAGAGATTTTCTGGGATTGGGGACAAAAAATGCTCCGATTACGGTGAAAGAGGAGTCTGATGAAGTTTCCGATTCAGGTACTGTGTTTTCCTTCCCTTTTTGATTTTGGATGCTTCAGTTTATGTAATTCAGTTTAGTTTTTGTTCCCTTTGCAATACTTGCTCCTTTCATTATTAATTTGGAGTTCACTTTTGTTTTTATCTGGATTCTGTTATTAATTCCAGGTTTGGGGTAGAAATTGAGGAAATAAGCTATCTGGGTGCATCTTGAATTGGGCTCTTTCTAAGTTTTCCTTTTGGGTAGTCACGTGAAACACTCCATTTTCGTCCATTTTCCCTGAACTAGAAAACCCCCGAGCAAAATTCTCTTTACATTAAGACCCAGTCTTGCGTAGATATAACTTTTTAAGCGAAATTCTATTTGAATAGAACTTCTGCAGGGTGTTGTATCATAAATTTATAAAAAAGGTTTTAAAAATTAATAAAAATTATCGAATTCAGGAGTTTAGTAGGTAAAGCTCTATTTTAGGATTTACATGCTTCAGCTAGTAGACAAATCAGAGGTTTTCAGAATACTATGTGGGCTAGCTTTAGCTTTTGTATTAGAGAAGATTTTAGAGAAGATGGGCCAGACAGCATTGAAAAGACTGGTGGTGCAACGTTTGCAACATAAGGTACAATCTCTTAACAACAAGTCCTAGGATACTTTAATAACACAAAGGAGAGCATTTACCATTGGGAAGTGATTATATTGTCCAATATTTCAATTTTCTTACTATTTTAGCGTTAATGGTAATGTACACTGGTTGCAGTCAACTGCTCAACAAATAGTCAATAAGGTCCTCTTTTGGTTTGCTTCATAAGCATAAGGTCCATTTTCCCATCTGGTTAATTTTGTCATTTCCCTATTATTTTCTTTTTTTCTTTTATAGAAAAAGGAACAAAATTTATCTTGGAATAGGTTATTATTGTTTAAGGCTTTGGTGTTGTGTTGTTGAATAAACTAACCTTGTCATCTTATCCTAACATGTATATGGGGTTGACATGTGTTAAACTAATGGGCTGTGCTGAGTTGTCATTTCACGTTTCATTTCTTTAATCTCTTAAATTTGAATCTTTTGGTTTTAAATTATTATAGATTGATTATTATGTATGGTAGTGCCTGCACTGGAGCAAGAATATGTTTATGATAAAATACTTGGCAGGCCTGGGAAAAAGAAAACCTTTTTCAATATAAATACAATTTGATAACATGGTTGCGTATTATTCAAATAACATTAATGGTGTATGTGATTAAAATATTGGTCCTATTAGGGACTTTAATATGATGCATCTTAATTTTCTCCAATGTGCCAGTTTTTTAGTTATTAATTAGTGCCTGGTGACATGTGCTACCGACATTTGGGCTAAAAATGCTCATTAAAGAAACATTTGTATGCATTACGATGAATCTTATATTTCAGATTCGATCTCTCTTTATCATGGGGCATGTGGCCCAAAGTTCTGACCAGTGGTTTTTATAGCATTTTGAGAGTGGTTTCAACCTTCATTACCAAGGTGTTTTAAGTACCTGATTTCATTGCTGATTCTTCCTAGCTTTCTTTTTTAAAATGGTTTATTAATTAATTTGTTGAATAGATGCTTCATAATAAGATTAAGTTAATCTGTGTGCGGTCCGCCTTCTTATTTAATTCAGGGTTTTAATATTGATAAGTGTTTAGCACATGAAGTGTCTCCTTTCCTCCTCCTTATAAAAGTAAAAGAAAATATGGGTTTATTTCCTTTTCCCCATGTGGTACTGGATCTTATGTTATATTAAAGGTTGCAATATCAGTCATCTTATTTTCCTTTGGTTCTTTAGCACCAATGAAAGGTTCCGGAATGCAGTGGTCTTTCTCAAACAAGGTTTCTGCCACACCTCAGTTCCTGTCATTCAAGGCTTCTCAAGAAGAAAGGCCTAGAAAGACTGCTCATGATCATATGATGTCATCTGGATTTATGACCATATCAACTCCAGATGCTCATGAATCCAACCACAAACAATATTCTGGCATAGTTCAGGTTTGTCATTTGCTTGTTGCCCCACTGCCCCAGTGCAGTTTGTCTTTTTGAATTTTGTTTAACATGAATTCCAAAATTTGATTTGCATGGCTGGAACAATTGATTTTTAACTTACACTTACATAAGATGTTATTTGTTGACTGTTGAAGTACACCATGTAAATATTGGAAATTGACCTGTTTCTGCATCTGAAATCTGGGCATATGTTCTTGAATTCATTTTATCTCAATTGCCCTTCCCTTGTTTTATTTATCTCTGATTTGTAGAAAATTATGGTCCTTGATAAACAAGTGGGGAATCACCATGCTGTGATGACATATGGTCTGCAAAAGTTTGATGCTTGTCCAGCCAGTCATTCACAGGAAGTGAGGATACTCCCAGTCTCAAACCTACCAAATCAAGCAATTAATCTTTCAATGAGCGCAACTATTCCACATTCACATCTTGCTACCACTGGACAGGCTATTGTCGGTAATAAAGGAATTCCACAAACCCTTGGAGGAGTTCCTATTATGGCTTCTCCTCTGTCTGTTGTTCCAGCATCAAGTTCTGTCATTGGTACCACTGATCTTAGGTATCTACCCCGTGAATTTCAAATGTTACTTCTATGAAAAATAACTAGGATTTGATGGAATAATTGACCACACTTAAAGGTTAGCTGAGGTGGTGAAGTTGAAAATGAATTTCTTTTGTAGGAGTACTCCCAAATCTTCAACGGCCCCCTCTCAGTTAACCATATTTTATGCTGGTTCTGTTTGTGTTTATGATGATGTGTCTCCTGAAAAGGTAAAGTGTTAATCTCATTTATCTGCTTTGTGTTTCTTTTATGAATTTAGGTGAAGTGTGTTCTTTAACCTCCATTAGTTTTTTGTTTTAATATCTAGGCTCAGGCTATTATGTTACTGGCTGGAAATGGATCTTCTGCAACTCGTAATAAGATGGTTCCCATGGCTCAAGCAGCAGTGCCAGCACAAGTTCAGGCAACAGTGCCAGCACCAGCACTACTACAAAGTCCACAGCCTGCTTCATTTGATGATGGTTTTGTTGGGAAAATTTTGCCAGCCACCTCATCATATTTAAGTCTTCCAAGCCCTATTTCTGTAACCTCTCCTGTTAATTTGCAGCGAGGGGGAGGATCCAATAGCACAAAGGAACTAGCAACAGTAAAATCAATTGGAGCTTTAGCATCTTCTGTTAGTCAACCAGAGCCTTCCATAGTTGCTACTTCAGTAGGGTCTGCTGCTAATCCACTAATTCCAGCAGGTATCATGCTGTTTTTAGTAACCTGATACTTCAAAGTACTTGCAGGAAACTTTTCCTCATTTTGTGCATATATTAGATGTTTGAAAATAAACTCTGAAGCAAGACAACTTTTTTTTCTTTTTTCTT